AACGACCGCTCCCCTCTGCGATGGAAAGCATCCACGCAGAGGAGTGGCCCCAAAACTGAGATCTCACAAACGGATAATACCTTGTACACGGATTTCTGTTATCTTCGACAGTTGATGTTTTTAGACTTTCCATTCGTTAGTCCAACATGGAGGATGGATAGGAAAGGAGAGCCGTGCAGGCAGCAGTCCGACGTTAGGTGTAAAGGCGCGGAGACTGAAGCAGCGTGATAGTTTGGGATTTTAAACCTTTTCTATAGACCAGGCTGTCTTATGTCACACAATTTCTCGAGAGGAAAAGACATTTTGGTTTTTCTTCCCTAATTCCCTCAGCCAGTCGCTCTGCACCACAAAGCACGCTGCTTGCGTTTGGGACTGGAACAGCCCTTGGCTTCAAATCTGGATGTTGTAGCGCTAATATTTCACTTCATTGCGCTAAATTTTTAACGTGAGACCAGATAGCAAAAAGAGAAATCTTCTGAAATTAATAACTTCCATGACCATTCCACCTTCCTGAGAAAGACTGTCTTCATAGGAACAGAAATTTGGGAAGTAGACCCTGTGAGTTCAGAGCAGGCTTAAAATAAATGTATGGCAGGATATCCAGCCATCCAGAATTTTAAAAAGTGATTCTTAACTTTATTCTGATCATGAATGAATCAAATTGCTCTGTGGATTCAGCCTATATGTATATATACACACGCATACATATGTGTATGTGTGTATATATATTTATATATGTAAAAAATGTAGTTTTTTTTTTTTTTAAGTCTTGTTGGTGGCAGCTTAGAGTCCTGAGTGTTATTTGTGTTAGGAGCTGGGGTGGAGGAAGTGAATTATCTTTTTGACAGAACACTGTTTACAAACAGTATATAGAGTCTTTATTTTAAGAACAAAGAGAAATCAAACTGGTTGTTTCTATGCTTCTCTTGAAATATCCCTGAAAGTGTCTAATCTCAGTACTTTATGCTGCAACAATCCTTTCCCATGTGTATCTTCTCCAGGGCAAGAACAAGTGCCTATGTTCTAGGTAAGATTTGTTATTTCCTAAAACTAATTAAACAGTTGGAAATGATTATGCTGATCAACTTTA